CCACGGTGGTTTGACAAGTTCGCTCCAGCTTCACAAGAGCTCACAGGTTTCACCAGAATGAGACCTGTAACTGGAACTGATGTGCAGCGAACGTACTGAAGACCCCCCTTGTCGCCGAACTGCGCGAATAATATTCTGGAATAATATTATTTATACTACGATAGAAATGAACCATCCCTGAGCCTCACTTCTTGTAAGCTCTCCTTTAGCAAATTCGAAGCTCGCTCAAATACGCTCTGTTGGTGAGCTCTCGCTTGGATAACAGCTCCCTTAGACGTTCAGTCACAAAATCAATCAGCACTCCTATTCAACTAAAAGTCACTAGAAACGCCATGTGCAGTTTAATTAAATAGGGAATGCTTTCAGGGTAACGGGTCCATTTGTCAGAAGTGGGTTGTCAACCATTTATTACTGTTGCACACATTGTATTACAAAACGTAACAACTTCGCTGTTTAGAAGGTCAACTAGTTAGTTATTTGGAATGAGCTAGCTGCTGCTAAGCTTTGTAATATTGAGTACACTCGATTTTGTAATCCAAGGTCTGGGTTAGCTGTTATCACAGCTTACGCTCACCAATAAATCGTATTTGAGCGAGTCCTCGATTTGCTAAAAAAGGTCGCTACTCTCCAAGTTCTCTTTTGTTGTGACCTCGCATCGTTGTTTACTGTGCTGTGCCACTCAAGGTTTTCAGGTGGAAATTTTATTGAACGGCCTAACCTTCCGACTTGGTAGTCTTCTTGAGAGGCCAAGCTTCCACCATGAATCCGCAGTCACATGCATGCAGTAGTCGGTAGTAAATGACTGCTATCCCGCATGTGACTGCGGATTCACCATGGAAGCTTGGCCTCTGAAGAAGACGACCAAGTCGAAACGTTAGGCCGTTCAATAAAAATTTCCACCTAAAAACCTCGAGAGGCATAGCAGCATAAGCACAGAATAGCTTGTTGCTTTACTCTACTGCTATTGTCGCTTTCAAAAACAAACAAAATTTTCCATAATCGCTTCAAGCTACACAAGCATTAACCCTTCTCTAATGACTGCTTTCCCATATATTTCGACTCTAGGAAAACGTTTAGCATCTAAGCAAAGCTCTATCTATAAAATACTATATTATAAAAAGTTGGATGAATAATATGCCGAGTTCCTCAAACAAACAGAATGACGGTAACTATTATACATTCGATTAGAATTCAAGGGTAGTCAAGGGAGACGGCCAAGCCGAGAGTCGGGTTACGCTTCAGAAATATGACCCACCTCCCGTTTTCCATTTACTTTTCCCATTCGCCGTTTGAAAAAAGAAAACGAGAAAAATGCAAATTGGGATTTCGACCGCGTTGCTATGATCATCTACTCCTGTTCCATTCGGCTCTGAGAAAAATGCAAAGATGTCTATCTCTACTGGCCTTGGGCACGGAAAAAGAATTTCGATTAGTTCTTCTATTCGAAGCGCGCCTAGGGGCATCAGAACTGAATTTTTTGAATTTTTCCCCAGGTAAAATCTCATAAGAAAGCATTCTAATATTAGTTTCAATACTACAAGGAAAAACCTAGCGCAGCGAACTGAAAAAGGGAAAACTATGCTGTTGCATTAGTTCCGCTCGAAAGAATGGCGCTTTCACCCATATTCGTGATAGCACAATAATGTTACTCTAAAAAGAAGCCATAATAATAA